CATTGTCAGTTTACGGGGCAGCGCAATAGTCGCCATCGCCATTATCATTGGCGCCATGTACATCCGTATAACAAACCGGCACCAAGTTGCCGTAGCCTACACCACCGAGCCCCTCGCGGGGCTTCTAGTTGGTTCAGTGTCCACCATCCGCTCTCTCTGCTCATCTGACTTGAAACTGTTTCGTGACGCGTCGCTTCAGTGGGCATTGTTCGAAGAAGGCCGCCTGGAATACGTACCAAATCGACGAGTAGCCAGCCAAGCAGATGGTACACCCACATTTCGTTCGAGATCCGCCCCGCGCCGTCCGACGGCTGTACAACTGTATGTACTCGGTAAGTGGAACGAGGAAACCGAGCCGTGATGCACCGTCTCGTCCAGTGCGGTATTTTTGCTCTACCCCAATCAGTAACCCTAACCCTACATCACGCCTTGTACATACATTGCACAAGGTGCCAATGCTCGACATGTCCCTTCCTTTTCGAGGATGTAAGCGCCTCGGAGGCAGCCGACCCGGCCACTGCCGACATAAAACGCCAGGCCGCACCAGACCTAACATTTGAACATGGAAGGCTCTGCTGCGGCTCCTTCATTGTTCCTTCCAGGCCCACTCCATCCTCATGAGGGGTCAATCTGGTGGTGGCATGCGTCGACCCGGCCAAGCAGGCTTGAAAATCTTGTGCCTGCCCATTTGATCCTATCAGCCTGGCACCGCCTGGCTAACTGTCAAGTCTCATCACCCGGCCCGCGACATACATACATACTTGCTTACTTAAAGTAAGACGCGCATGCATGTGCATACATACTTATACATACATACAACATCTCCCGGCGGGGCTATCCTGCCCGGAATTTCCAAATTCAGCTCTCTAGCCGCTAGCTAGGATATACTGCAAGGCGACATCAGCAACCCGCGCCAAAGAAGAGGGGACGGCGGTTCCCACAAGGCGTCAATAGGACTGAATTCGTAGGGCGCCTTTATTTTTTAATCTTGCCACTCCGTCTTCCCTTTCGAGCGGTGCTATATCTCAGCTTGGACATACTTGACCCTTCCCAACCGCCTATATACAACAGCGCACCAGCAAAAGATGGCGCCGCAAAAGATCATCATTGACACCGACCCCGGTAGGTAACACAACACCACAGACGCCGCGGTCGTGTAGCTACTTTCTTGTTCAATGGGCTGATAGGCGCATTTCCCAGGCGTCGACGACGTCATGGCCATGCTCTTGGCCTTGAGTGCCTCGCCGGAAGAGCTCGACGTGGCCATGTTATCCGTCACATATGGAAACGTTCCTCTGCAAAGGTGAGACATTGGATGGCTCCTCGTCTCCTTGTTATGACTTCTGTCACTTTTTATTTTGAAGATATGGGAGACGGCGCAAACTAACAGATGCCAAGCTGCCTTCGCAACGTCGTCGCCATGTTTCACGTCCTGGAAAAGGAGATGGAATGGAGAAAATCCACTGGTAGAGCCGAGGGATTCGAGACCATGAAGAAGAGCAGGCCCATCGTTGCTGTTGGCCCTGAACACTCTCTCGAGGACGAGTGCTTGATGGCTGATTACTTCCGTGAGTGCTACATCAGTCCAGGGACGGGAGACCCTTGTGTGCATACTGACCCCCGGGGTTTGATGTCTTCCACATTTGGTGGCTCTATTGGTTTAATTTTTTCTTCTCGTCTCTAAACTAACCCGGCTTGTTCATGATAGACGGTCTGGATGGCTTGCACAACGTCCACGAAGCACATCCTCACCTCTCCCCAGCCGAGACTTGGAAATCCCTCTTCCAAGCAGACGCAGCGGCGGAGGCTCATGCGCACTCGCCCTTCTTCACACCTTCCAAAGAGCCTGCCCACAAGGAGATTCTGCGAATCCTCAAAGAGAACCCCATCGACACAGTCTCCATCTGCGCCGTAGGCCCCCTGACAAATGTTGCCTTGGCCGCCGCCGAGGACCCCGAAACCTTCCTCCGCGTCAAGGAACTCGTCGTCATGGGCGGGGCCGTCAACGTCGAGGGAAACATTACGCCCGTCGCCGAGTTCAACTGCTACGCCGACACAGTCGCCGCTGCTCGCGTCTATGCGCTGACCTCGTACAACCCGGCATATACCATGCCCCTGCTTCCCAAGAAGCTGTCTACTCTCCGCGCATATCCGGAGAAGCTCTCGTGCCAACTGAAGCTGACCCTTGCCCCTCTCGACATCACCACCCCTCACCTCATCACCAGGAACTTCTTCGCTGAACGTATTCAGCCTTATATTGACGCGGGTAGCCCCTTGGCCACCTGGACGTCGCACTTTATTCAGGGAGCCTTCAGCCAGATCGAGAGGATGGAGGGCAACGGAAGCGAGCCTGGGCTCTCCCTACACGATCCCCTCACAATATGGTACATGCTGACTCATGATGACCCAAAATGGAAGTTCCCCGCCAAGTTGGAGGATATTCGTGTCGAGACTTCAGGCCAATGGACCCGCGGCATGCATGTCGTCGACAATCGACTGCGAAGTAAGCCTGCCGAGCTGGCAGCTTTGGCATCTCTGGATCCCCGTGACGATCCCAATGTCATCACCAAGGACGAGGCTCCAGGCGACACGTTCGGCTGGCTGAGCGTCCTCAAAGGCAACCGAGTGAACCGTCTCGTCGAGTCTCCCGGCGCGGATATTTTCAAGGATGTTTGGATGAAACGCGTGTTTTCGTAAATAAAAAGAAAAGAAAAGAAAAAAGAAGGAGAGGAAGAAGAGAATATTATATAGAGTTTCAAGAGCTGCGTAATCCTGCAGCTAAAAGTATAATGACCTGCTGTAGCTGTTGGACTCTTTGTCCACGTCGCCGTCAAGCTCGAAAGAAGTAGCATTTTTCTTCACAAAAACAAAACGCCCCCAAATTCTTCCAGGTCGTCTCTTGTTTGACTCCAAAACGCCGCCTCATGCCGGTAGTTCCAATCATAAACACAAATCGTCGTCCGTGTCGTGCTTCGATACCTACTCCCTGCTGCCTGTTCCCTCTAGACATGTTTGATTCCGCCGATTTCCGACCCCTTGACCTCTGTCCAGTTGATGCTTTCGTCTAGGCTCTCGTCTATCAGGCCGACGGAGCACACGTTGTCGCCCCGTACAAGATATAAACCAAGGGGGTGGATTTCCGAGGGTTCGTTATCATCCGCTTCGTGGATGACCCGTTCTTCCGTTCCGGTCAAGACCTACCCACGCACAAAACGTTAGAGCTGCGCCTTGCCATGGTCGTAGGGAAGAGTGTAGGGGGAAAAGGAGAGTGTCGCATACCAAATTGGTGGATTGGTCGCAGGCTGCGAGCGTGCCGACCAAGATTCGCGAATCGGCGGTCACCACAAGGACCTTTTCTACCGGTTTGAAGCACGTCAGTAAGAGGGGTGCGGAAACAGCTGATTGTACAAAAGAAACACGTACTGTTCAAGTATCCTCCTAGAGTCGCCATATTTGCAGAATCCCAACTGTCGCAACGGGCAGGCAGGCGGGCAGGCAGGCCGTGAGGGCGGACGAGCGAGGAGGGTTTGGTGGTGGTGGTGGGGGAAATGTATGTAGTATGCACCCTGCTCAGGTATCGTCGGCACAGGGCAGCTTGGAGGTTTGCTCCCACAGGCACAGAGGCGCTAAGCCGAGTTGGGCTGAGTTTTCGAGTCACCGCACAAAATTCTGGCACGAGGTTGAAGGCAGGAAAAACGATGAACTCGAGACGCGCGAGACACGTTGGGACATCTTTTGCTTGGCAATATTATCGAATAGCGTTGTTTCTCTAGTCAGGAGGCGCTGGATACATTATATCGTACAGCACGGGCACGAAATACGGTAGATTGGAGGATGAAATTAAGCAGGCACTTCGATTTTTATCACGAAATAGCATTATCCATCACGACCTTTTCTCGCAGAAACCCAGACCCCTCAGCTCCAATGCGACTTCAACAAAATCTACAGACAAACGACACGTGTGTCAACAGCTCTTCCGCAAGCCCAGTTCCTAGACGCATAATATTCCCAACTTTGCAACCAGAATTCTCCCTCGAATGCCTACGTCCGTATCCCACCAAGTTGTTTCATGCTCATCACTCTATCTCAATACCTCCGAATCAACAGTAGCAAAGTTCCTTCTTCACCCCACCGGACAAGCCAGCGAAAGCAATGAAAAAAACGATAGGTTCGCGTCACCTGGAGGCAGTGTAATACCAGGGACACTGTGGGCAGAAGCATGTGCAAGCACAGAGGAAACTGCCCGAGGGCCAAAAATAAGAATAATCTAGATTGGTCTCAATAGAGACCTTTCAGAGATTAAACTGAAAAGAACAGATACTACACTTGATCTAAGCCAAAAGGCAAAGAGAGCTAAAGAAGAAAGGAAAGAAAAATTCCAAAAAGCCGGCGGGCAGGCGAGAATTTTATAGCTGCTGCTGCGGGCGGTGTGATCTGGCGGGTGGCAGAAAGGCAGCCAATCAGCAGGGAGGGCCTTTGTTGCGGTGTGGCTGCCTGGTTTTGTCTCCACCCCCTTCCTCCCTTTTTTTTTCCTCAACGGTGATTGGAGTGCCTTGTGGCCTTGCGTGGGCCTATCTGGTATTTGCTGCTCGTGAAGCTACCCTGCGTGCCACCTGGTTTTCAACGGTTGCTCACTTCTGATTCACATTTTGTTCACACATGCCTCGTAAGTCGTATTGATTTAATGGCCTAATACGTGGGTATCTAGGCGACTTGTTGTTGCTCGTGGGTATCTGCACACGTAAACATGTTTGGTGGTTTTTCCGTGGCTACCCAAATGCCATCAAAGGCTCCTCAATGGCGCCCACGACCATCCGTGACGCCGTCTCATGCTAGGTTCATACATACAAAAAGGGGGAGCCAGGGGCCCTGCCAATATCTCCCATGGTCAAAGCCAACAAAGTCTAGCGATTCAATTCTGCCCATAACGCCATACAGGTTCGAGGGGAAGAAAAAGACAAAAAACACTTCACCTAATCGGACACTCCAGCGAAAGCACTCTAGTCCTCCACCAACTCGCCTTCGTCTTCCGATACCCTGGCACGTTTTTCTGCTCTTCCGCAATCGACCGCTCCATCCGGTTCAGCATCTTTTCTCTTCATCGGTGACCTTGGCATGCTTCCATCCCCCCGATCAGCGCCATTCGGCCTCGGTGCAGGGCTCCTACTGGGACTGGCTCTATCCAATTCCATGGGTGTGCCATTCGAGGATAGCGTGTCAGGCTGGCTAAGCAGTGTGTCGGCGCGCCTTCGCGTGTTCTCCAAGTCGAATGCGGGTGATGGCAGCGACGTGTTCTGCTTTCTGAGCGGATTCTCCGTGTAGAACTGGCGCATCACCTCGATGGCGTTGGTACATCGTTCCTCATCTCCATTCAAGTATCTCCACCACGGCTCGCCATTGATATCATCAATCTGTTGGTGCGTATGGACACTAGCGAAGAAAATGGCACTAATCGCCACATCCCGTGCTTCGATTAACAGAGGAATTGCCGTCAAACAGGCGTCGTTGCAGAAAGCCCAGGCAGCTTGTCGGAGATTCTTATTGTGTACAATGTCTAGCTGGCCGAGAAGTTCAAAGAGGTGCCGGTACGGGTTATCAATCATGAGATCAAAGGTCAACTGCTCCAGCATGATCTCCTCGTAGGTCAGTATGCTGTCTCGCCATCTCCAGTATTCCTTACTTTGCTCGTCGATTTCAAGCTTTGCATTCTTCTGAGCCACCTTGGCAACGGCAATGATGATTTCCTTTGTCTTTCGGCAGTTTTCCTCGACCTTGTTGGCCAGGAACAGCGCTGTAGCAGCAATATTCTGTAAACCCCAACACCCCGCGTGGTTAGAAACGAACACTGTTTTCAAAGCCATCACAGCTCGCCGCCGAAACTTGGCAGATGCAGTCGACTTACGTAGTGGTGTATGCCGCCCTTCTCCTGCACCATGCTGAAGCGCATGAAAAACCTGTGAAAGAATACCCCGGCAACCCACAGGGTGATCTGGGGCAAGTCCAGCATCACGCCAGCTTGGTAGATAAAATTGACACCCTTTGACCGCCGAAGTCTCTCCTCGGATGGCGGTAATCCGTCGATAACGCTGGGTGTGCTCACAACTTCCTCTGACGTAAATGACCATTGATTCGCCACCGTGCTTTGGCTATTGTGGCCAGACTGCGCCGGCGACTGTTCGTCGGACTGCGGTTGTGCTTGGGGCCGCGGAGGAGACGTCCGCGCACTATTCTGAGGAGGCGTTGGGGCGGCAGGCGGGATTTCTCGTCGAGGCAGGGGAGATCGTGATGGTCCGTCGGTTCGAGAGCCCCCAGGGAGGGCGGGCGGCTGATAGCCCTCGCGAGGCGGACGGTAGCGGTCTATGCTCGCCATATCCAGCAGATTCTATGTCGGGTGGGCAATCCAGGAGAAAAGGCGACCTCGAAAAACCATGGAGAAGGGGCTACCTCGTGCTTGTGGTCGAGGTAGGCTTGCGTGGGCGCGGAGAGGGATCTACTTTTTGGTGTTTGGTGGAGGGACCAGATGCCTGTTGGAAATGCCTGACTGGATGGGATGACAGCCAGCCAGTCGCTGGTCAACCAGTCTGTGTGAGTTATCTTATCGGCCAAATTAAGGACGTACCCGGTCACCTGACCCACACCACCATGCACAGGCTAAACGTCTCGTTGCGGGGCGCCACTGGCAACTCGGCGTACTGACAGAATGACGGCGTTTTGATATTGTACAGAGTATGTAACAGGCCAACGGGGAGCATTCAAAACGGTAGTAACACAGCTGGGTACTTGCAATGGTTGGCATCCGGTACATCGCCGTGCTACGCGATCTAAGTTCCTCAAAGACACGATATGCACTAATGATGATGGACTGACTTGTCGAGAAACAAAAGAAGGGGGAAATTTTGCCATGGAGATGACAACCGAACCGTACAAATAGGCCAAGTAGGATGTCGATAACCAGGGAGAGACATGGAGCAAAGTGGAGGGTATCACATGCTCTATTATTTTACCTGTACCTGTAACATACATTGCGACATTCTACAACGGCTCGCTATTGTTTCGACCCCAAAGCTTGACTGTCCGGTCATGACCGCCACTCACTATCCATTTGCCGTCTCTGCTATAATCCACGCTTGCAACCGGTCCCGTATGCCCACTCAAGGTTTGTATCAGTGTCCAGTCATCCGCTGAGAAGATCTTGACTTCCTTATCGAACCCGCACGACAGGAAGAAAGTTCCAGACTTCTTGGGAATCTGGGCTCCCTTTTCATCCACACCAGGTGGAGTTCCGTCAAGAGGATCATCGACGCCTTTGAACCATCGCATGTCTGAGACGGCACTGTTATGGGCGCCGACGCCCCCTATTCTTTGGACCTTGCGGACATCCCAGCATTTGACCCAGCCGTCGGCGGATCCAGACAAGACACGATGGCCGTCTGAGCCCCAGTCGAGCGCATGGATAGGCTTGATGTGGCCATCTAAATGGCCGTCCAGAATCATAACTGTTCTTCCAGATCGCAAGTCCCAGATACGACCAATGCTATCCAGACCAGCGGTAGCCAAGAGGGATCCGTCGGTATTGAAGCTCAGTGCGTAGACGCCTCTTGAATGGCCTTCTTGCAGCAGCACTTCGGCGGTGCTCTCAACATCCCAGAGTCTCCATGATGTATCATCTGACGCTGAGGCGAGATAACGACCGGATGGATGGAACTCTACACGACAGACGCGCTGTGTGTGTCCTTGTAATGTCGACAAAGGGGTGTCCTGATTCAGTGACCACAGCTGCACCAGTCCCTCGGCCCCGCCGGAAGCCAGATTCACAGCGTCTGGGGAGACTGCTTGGTCTGGAAGGGTCGCCCCAGGAAACCAAGATAAACCACTGATCTTGTTGGTGTGGCCTCGTAGATTCATCTTCTCGGTCAGATTGGGAATCTCTACCAACTTGACCTGGCCGCCCCAGTTACCCACGGCCACTAGCTCTCCGTTGGGCGATATTCTGGTCATGCTTATGTATCTTTGTCCAACTGTCTGGCTGCCTTGTAGCTCAAACTCTTGCAGCTTTTCCTTGATCTGTTTCCGAAACTTGACGTGGGTTCGCAAAGGAATGGTCGCCTCCTGCTTTTGATAGGCAACCCTTTGTTTGGCTCGAGGCAGCGAGTATTCTGCAATGTTCATTCTCGCTTTCAGGAGTTTCTCGCCTCCTCTGGAATAGAATTCCTCTTCCTGTTCCTCGGCTTCTTCTTCGGCCGGGGCATCTTCCATGTCAACATCGCCCTTTTCGAGACCAGCAAGTTCGGCTTGAATGGTCATCAGCTCTCGTAACCGGTCGCGACGATCGCCTGGGCCCTCCCCGAAGAATGTGATGGGCTCTCCAATCTCCCTGAGCTTTGCTCGAACGCGGCCATCATCCGTGGGCACAGCAATTGTCGCAGCAAGTCGTTTTCGATTGAACTGGTCGAGGATGGCTGACGTCTTCTCGGGAGGTGCGCCCGGCGCCATGGGCATGTCGTAGTCTGTATCATCCTTCAAATCTTCTAGCGCAATGCCCGCAGGCGAATGGGCCTCCTCGACATATGCCTGACGCGACGGGTGCATCATGATGCCTTGCTGTCGTCAGGGACGGGGCCAAGACTGTCGTCGTTGGGCGGTCGGATGGAGGCAGAATAGACCAGCAATTTGCAATAGAAGCTTCGATGTACGATGCAGATGTTGATTGACGTTCTACCTAGGATGGGAGGTCGTGTGACGAGCTAACAGAGAGCTCTCGGCGGTTGAATCTTTCGAAGTTTGGTTCGCTAGTGGTGGTTGCGAGCGGCTCTAAAAATTAACCACTTGCAGGGCTGCTCTGGCCGGAGGTGAGTGGGGCTTCAATGTTGGAGCATCCGGGCGCAACACTCCGTACATACACCCACTGTACACCAAGACCGACAGCTAACGTGTCTGGTACCACAATGCACCCGAGTTGCAGCCTGACAGACACCTCCATGTGGGCTGGTGTACCAGACATGTTCGGCCGAGGGCAGCTTTTTTTGGCCATGAGCTGTCGTGTTTGTGGTGACTCCTTTGTGTCACAAGCCATGGCTGAGTGAACAATGGCTTTGCCGATTCAATGTACATATTTCGGATGAGGCAGCCACTGTCGGCGAGCGAAAGCAGCACCGGCTACCCTGAAGTAGCTGTGCAGTTGAGAAATGAACTCCATGTCGGCAGTGTTTGAAACCTGGTCGGCCGATCGCTGGCTGCCTGTAGCGTCGGCCCGTGGCCCTGCCATGTTCTCGCGACAGGGATCTGCAATGATGGATGTCTGATACCAGATTTTTACTGGCCGCCCCACGCGCTGACGGCTACCCGATCACTTGCAGCCACAGACATGCCCAATTGAATAGCAGCAGTACGGGGTACGCTGTAACCTACCTAGTACTCCCTAATACAATTAGTAGTCCATACCCGTAGCGGGGAATCACTTTTTGGGCAAAAAAAAAAAAAAATCTTAATTTTATCGACTCGGGGTTCCTAGGGCTTTCTTTTTTCTTATGCGGCTGGCCTTATTCAGGCTGCTCCTACTAGTGGAGGGTCAGTACTTGCCCATGTCCACCCGTGTCTGGTCCGTGTCATGTCCGTCCGCCCTTGTGCGGCGGGCGCACTGCCCTATGAATTTCTGTACTACACTAAGTGGTAATTGATGCTTATGCACCAGTCTTCTAATAAACACGCTGGCGTCTCTCAGCCGGCTCCTCGCTTTTTTTTGCTTCCCTTCCCCCTTAGCCCTGTACACCATCTGGTGAACATCACGACCACACAAAACCCGCCGTACAAACCCGCAAGCCGTTGTCCAATGCATATACAAAAGCCTTCCCATATGCGAACCTCATTCTTCAAGTACCAGATGCGCTTTGTGAGCCACTACGAGATCGATCTTCCATTCATCACGGAGAAGCGCGCGGATCCGGAGCGACGCCGGGGCACGACCTGAGCGAGCTCATCAACCTGACCGGCATCGTACCGTCCAATACCATACGGCCCCTAGACGACTCTTCTACGAAGCCCTCCCGCTTTTTCACGTACCATCATGATAAGCCCGGCCAATCCAGCCCGCACCGTCGTGCGTGGCTTTACGGGCACTCCCGTTACCTCTGGAGACGAAGATTCCGACTATGGTGCCTCAGAGACCCCAACCCTGGCTTCTCGAAGCGGTCGAACCCGGATCGACGACTTTGTCAGCGCCAACTGCAGCCCAGTTTTGAAGGCGGTGCCGTCTCCAACCGTGTCTGGTATTGCGAAACTGCGAATGCAAATGGACCACTTCAGTCTCGACACGTCTTCGCGCTCAAGCTCTGTAGCCCGAAACGGTGGTCGTCCCGAAGTTCGATCTGGAATCACCACAGAGCTCAACAGTCGCGCCCAAAGCCGGGAGGGAGCACGCAGTGAAGCGGGCAGCGATAGTTCAGAGTGTGGATCGACCAGCTACGAGGTTACCCTGGAGAGTGATTTTGTCAGCGAGAGTGTCCGGGAGCGATCTGGCTTCGTTGAAGGCGGCTTAAACCCAAAGCGTAAGATGACTTCGGAGGAATTCGAGCCCCTCCGTTGCTTGGGTAAAGGAACCTATGGCACTGTCCTCCTCGTCAAACAGCGTGCGACCGGGAGGCTTTATGCGCAGAAACAGCTCAAGAAGGCATCGCTAGTCGTGCACAGGAAGCTCATTGAGCAGACCAAGACGGAGCGCCAAGTACTCGAATCCGTGAGCCGACACCCGTTTGTCGTGAAGCTCTACTACGCCTTCCAGGACCTCGAGAAACTCTATCTCATTCTGGAGTACGGACAGGGTGGAGAGCTGTTTACTCACCTCAACACGGAAAAGATGTTTTCCGAGACGGTGGCTGCTTTCTACATGGCAGAAATGTTGCTCGCCATCTCTCACCTCCACAACAACCTCGGAGTTGTGTATCGTGACCTCAAGCCGGAGAACTGCCTCTTGGACGCCGACGGTCATTTGCTCCTCACAGATTTTGGTCTGTCCAAAGTGGCTGTGGAGAAATCCGAGGACAGCTGCAACTCGATTCTCGGGACGGTTGAGTACATGGCCCCCGAAGTGATTCTTGGCAAGCGGTACGGGAAAGCCGTAGACTGGTGGTCCTTTGGTGCACTGGGCTACGATCTCATGACGGGCAACCCGCCGTTTCGAGGCCAGAACCACGCCAAGATCCAGGACAACATTGTCAAGCAAAAGCTCGTCATGCCGTACTTTCTGAGTCCCGATGCAAAGGACCTGCTCACGCGGCTTTTGAGAAAGGATCCCCACAAGCGACTGGGATACTGCATGCCCAAAGATTTGCTGACTCTCAAGAAGCACCGGTTTTTTCGCAAGATTGACTGGAAGAAGCTCGAGGCTCGGGAACTGGAACCGCCCATCCAGCCCATGATTACAGACCCAGAGCTTGCTGAGAACTTTGCCCCTGAATTTACAGACCTGGCTCTCAGCCCGTTGGTGACGTCTAAAGACGTGTGGCCGATGAGCGGATCGACTAAGGATGATGTGTTTGGGGGCTTTAGCTTTGTGGCATCATCGAGCCTACTTGAGAGCGGCATGTTCTCATTGGCCAATGGTGTGTAAAGTATTGGCTTGTGTTGGGGACCCAAAATCTCAGAACGGGTGTTGCGAGCAACAGGTTTCTTTCGGAGCAGAGTTGGCCGGGTGGTCCATTTTCGCATGTGCTTGTGGCAGTGACGAGCGTATGGGCCAATTTTGTCTTTTGCCTTGGGATTGTGCCGTGTTTTCCATTATCCGTGGACATTCGTGGGGCGGGGTTGCTTGCGTGTCGGGTTTGTATGTCTTTTGCTCGGCGTGGTTATGATGTACACGCCTGCAATGGTTTTGATTTGATGCATTCATTCAAGTTGAACTTTTAGAGTAGACGTCACCTACAAAGATGGGGGTGGATTGGCAAATGAGCAGCTTAGACAGAGGCGATCAGGGTGTTTTATCGTCGGGAGATGATGTTTGATACATGGCTAGCGAATGTCAAGTTTTCATGTTACAACTTTGTAGTGTTTAGTTTTTCTCTTTATTCCTTTCTCGTGCTCTATCTTTGTTTGCGATCGACCGGTGGGGGGAACCAACTTGCCAATGGCACCGAGGCACACGCGACACGAAGATGGGACGCATCATCATACTACTACTACATACGTGAAGCCATGCCACGGGCAGTGTCTCTTATCTTGTGTCATAGATGGAGGGCCCTGCTTTTGGCCAACGGTCCCCTGCCAATTGACGCGTCTTGACACACGGCAAAGTGTGGTTTCATCTAGTGCCGGCGTGAAACAGGTAGGAAAAGGCTAATCGAGCCATCAGCCTGTGAATCTATCTAACTGCTAGGGATATCTTGATTGAGCAGGCCTGCTTTGCGTTCCCTCCCACGGATGCGCTTGGGCGCCTTGCGGGAGGCAGGCCAGATGGATGGGTTTTGTACTCGGGAGGGTCGATGTTTTCCTGGCCGAGCTGGGCGCAACCTCGAATGATTGCATTGACGGGATGAGCCCTCGGACGAAGCCCGCCCCGACATTCCGCAAGACTGTTCAAGTTTGACCGCCAAGACGACGAAGGGTGAGTGGCGGCGTTTGGGGGCATCATCCGCCTGGAGGCCGCCGTTGCTACGCTGTCCGCGGAGCCAGCGATTCACAGAGGGCATTGCGTGTGCATCGACGCTGGTGCCGGTTCGAACGCCGGCGCAGATATCGATTGATTGAGGCTTATTAGTCGGGATGATCTTGGCCTGGGGAAGGGAGGGGCGCAGAGCGACGTATGAGAAACACACCCGACGTGGTTGGGTGGGTTGTTTTCCCATTCCATGGCGACGTCTGCCGGGTTGCCAAGATGCCAAGAGGCTTCCGATGTTGGCGTATTTTAATTTTATTTTGGCTCGTGTGCTCTGGAGGCGTGTCGCGCTTGGTGAGCTGCGGCAACTTTGTTCTTGGCCCGTTGACATTGCGGACTCGACGGGTTGTAAATCTTGGTAACTATATCGTGATCCTTGGAGCATCTGGCATTGTAGCCATGCCCCAAATACGTCTAAAACAGGCAAAAGACGCCCCTATTCGGCACTGATCGCGCTATTCACTCTACGTCGTCGAGTTGTTGTGTGTGTAGCCAACTCACGGGAGCGTGGTGACTGTTTACTGCGCAGGAAGAGTGACGATTCCCGAAGCAGTTGGCGCTTCAAGTCAAAAGCTGCCGTTGGAGGACTTTTGCTTGGCAATGGGTACTCGTCCGACGATCAATAGTCTTTGGCAACGTCCTTGGCGCACGCTCCAGCCCAGCCATCGAAATCGTCACCAATCTTCCCGTCGCTGTGCTTCATGCGTGCCGTGACTGTTGTATCCAGCGCCTCGGTGGCCGCGCACTGCTTGCCGAGACACAGATGCCGCAGCACAGCCCTCGGCCTGGATCCGTGCAACAAGTCTGGCCGTTGGCAAGGAAAAGAGGGTAGATTGAAACTTGTCCGAACATGTCTTCTCTTCATGCTGGCCGTCCTCGTCATGGCCTTGACCCTGCTGAAAATACATCTCGGCGTCGACCTGACGTGCCCCTCTCAAACATCTTCATCTATCCCGGCTGCCTGGCAAGCCCTGTGTGAAATATCGCTGGCCTCTTTGGCTGCCGCTCCTGGGTCCGGGGTCGTGTGAGGGGGAGTTTTGAAACCACGCCATGGAGCAGGCATCATCCAACATAGTACTAGCCAGACCCCTTGGCTCGTTACGTGTGGCGCCTCCATTTACTCGACTTGCCTTCTGTTCGTAATCTTGCAGTCTGTGGATATATTAGCTCTGTCTTGCCATCCTCGCCGTGAGGTTGACGTGCTTCAAATACATGGCGAAACGTCTGTCTGACTCTTTCCAGGCTGGCCCTGACTCGACGAGTTCGTCGACATCGAATGCCATTTGATCCCTCTTTACCTATCCAGTGACTTCATCTTCTGATTCGACTCTAGAAATCGTCTACTCACGTACGCATTATCCAAGGAGCCCAACATGAAACTTTCAATGAAAGCCGTTGTTGCTGCCACCATTGCAGCGTGTAAGTGCTCTCTGCCCCCTCCAGTAGCCGACAGAATTCACGCTCTAGCCATGGGAATACTAACAAGAAAATACGTTCCCGCCAACAGATGCGTCAACCACAGAGGCTGCCCTAGCGGCCACCTGTCCAGGCGACGGGGAGCTGTGTTTCCAATGGGGTATACCCGCCGGCAGCAGCAGGACAAGTCCAGGCAATCTCTACTTCCAGCTTCGAGGCCCTAGCTCGTTATCATGGTTTGCCTTGGGTACAGGGTCCGCCATGATGGGATCGAGCATGTTCGTCGTCTATTCCAATGGAAGCGGCGTGACCCTCAGCACTAGACCAGGCAAAGGACACGTCATGCCCGAGTACCAAGCTCGTTCAGACGTTGAACTGCTTCCTGGATCGGGGGTCGTGAATGACAACCTTGTTGCCAATGTACTGTGCAAAAATTGTTCCGATATTGCTATAACTAGTTCCTCGAGCTGGCTTTATGCCTGGAACATGGGTGCAGCCATCGACTCGTCCAGTCCCTCTGAGCCAATTTCGTTCCATGATGCCTTTTCAGGCTTCTCGGTCAACCTAGAACAAGCCACCATTGCTTCCGACTCGAACCCTTTTCTTACTCCCGCCACGAATGGCAATACCAAGCCCAATCCTAGCGGAGTTGAGACCGACGAGGGCAATGGCATGGCCATGCTATATGCGCATGGCATCGTCATGTCCGTTGCTTTCCTGATTGGGTACCCAGTTGGATCAGCCCTTATGCCTCTGCTTGGTAGATGGCTTATCCATGCTAGCTGGCAGCTGCTTGCATTTGTCGGAATGTGGGTTGGATTTGCTCTCGGCTGCGTTATCTCTTCGCGGGCCGGCTCGGTACAGCTCCCCCCCTTTTCATTCCATCCAGGCCTTGACCCAGGTCGATTGTTGTTTCGAGGCTGCTAACATTCTGTCTCCAGCTCTTTCAGGATGCACATATGCAACTGGGTCTTGCCGTCTCCATCCTAATGACAATACAGCCAGTCCTCGGCTGGCTGCACCACACGCATTTTCTCAAACACGGGCAGCGTGGTCCCATCAGTCACGTTCATACCTGGTACGGGCGTATCATAATGATCCTGGGTATTGTCAATGGAGGCATTGGCCTTCACTTCGCCGGAGCGTCTTCACGATTTGTGGCCACCTACGCCATAGTGGCGACCCTGGTCTCTGTCATGTACCTTGCCGGGATGGGTTTCGGTATTATCAAGAGGAGAAGGCAACAAACCCGACATTATCAATCGTCGTCCCAAACCGAGCTTGCGAAACTGTAAAAGGTTGCAGTCTCCAGGCCGGGAAGCTTGGAGCTGAGAGCCGGGAGAGAGTGTGCAGGCGTTCGTTATAGTAAAATATCCCTTTGCAGCCTGGTTCTCAAGATGCGATATGAAATTGAATGAGTTCCACCCGGACAACAACATGTTAGTCGGGTGAAATGGGAGAAAAGTGGCGGCCCTTTTGTTGAGAATTCTAATGTTCTATATTAGCCGACTTGCAAGATCTGCAGAGTAGTAAATACGCCGTAATAAGATTCCTTTTGCACAACCCAAGTATCAAATCGAGCCAGTTGTGAGATATATTGTCCCAGTAGACTCTTTGCTAGCACGCTTTCTGTTCTCTCCCATGAGGCAAAAGTATCAAGGTTTGGTGTTACACCTGTGGATTTCGCCATGTCTCCGGTTCTGAGCATCCTCGGGTTTGGCCGTACCGCGGTCCACCTCCGCCCATTGCGAGTTCGAGATCCAATCGCAAAAACAGAATCAAGGACTAAAGCCAAAAAAAAAATCCAAATCTTGCTCAGTTCAAAGCAAGCCAATCACCAAAATAGTCTTCATCAAGTCACCGATAATGACAAGATGCCTAGTCGGTGGCAATCGGACAAACGTGAGACGCTGAAAGCCAAGAACACCCGTGATCACGTGCTGCTAGTTTTGGACCACCAGTGATGCAGCTCAGCCTGAGGCAGAAATTTACACTGCTGGCCGACTCAACCGGGGGAAATCGACATCACGATTTTCACAAAAGCCTCAGACCATATCTCCCCCCCAATAGTCAGGGTTCCCGATTGAGCAACACCCAACCATTCACAATGCTCAGCCAACTGTCCAGGGCCACGGTAAGTGATGACCACCATTTTTGCAACGCTGTCGACGCCCGCAACGCTCGAAAGCTCGAGGCGGCCTTTATTGTAGGGAGCTTGGAACTGATTCGGCCAACAGCGCGCCACCTCGGCCGTCCGCGCCGTCGCACGAGTTACCAGAGGCAATGCTGTCCAGGCTCGAGGCTTCATTGCCCCAACCGTCTCGAGGAAAGGTGAGAAACATGTGTTTGCCCTCTTTTACCTTCTTCACCCCAGATTTCGACCGCGTTGTCACTCCGACAAATGAGGAGGTGGCACCTCTCACGCCTATACCCGTCGGCATCATCTGCTTATCCCGAATCCGCCACCCCCCCCGACAGGCACCCGATGCACATGCAGCTAGAATAGCTGCATTATCTGGGTGATGATCGATGCTTTCTGCCAAGTACACAAGCGACACGACTCAACCATCGGCCAGTCTTTCCTAGCCTCGGGAACATTTACCCATCTAACGTCCACATACACACGAACCAAGCGGGAACCTACGTGGCTAACATTGCTCTCTCTTCATAGCCGACTTCGTCCAGGATCTCTACCTGAAGGAGATCAGGGCTTACAAGACCCCCGCCGTCAAGGAGTCCGACGCTGATGGCCAAGTCCAGGCCTTCGCCATGCCCAAGACCCCCGCCTCCCCCGAAGAGTCGGACCTCGCCAGCAATCTGAAGGAGTACGAGAGCATGGCCGTCGAGATTGAAGGCCAGGATGCCGCCCAGACTAGCCAGAGCGGTTCCGCCGCCCTCCCCGACTGGCTCGAGGCCGAGGAGGAAGACGAGGCCGCCCACTAGATTCCATACAACACATCTTCGGAAGCTTAGAACTCGACATTTTTAAAGGTGGAAGCGGAAGGTGTCTGGCGTGTTCTAGAGTCTCCAGACACGACGACATGCGCGGCAGAGGAGTGTTTTCTTTTGTGTAACAAGCTGACGGCGCTGTCTCGTCTCACCGAGAGGACAGAGCCGGCCACGAAGGACAAGACGTTCAGGTGGTGGTGGGTGACGATGGAGTCGATAATCCTATTGTACATTTTCCTCTTAACAAGCCTCCATTAGGGGCGTAGGACTTGACCGTTTTGCGAATGCGAAGAGAAGTAAGCAAAGAAATCAAACTTACCCGTGTACCATCAAACTTGGCCTACCGCTGCCGCGCCGTGAAACGTTGCCACCACACCGCTTAAATTCCATGTTTACAAATCTTCGTCAGGGAAGCACGCCTCTCTGCCGACAGGCGGACAAGCTCCGCTGCGCATGCATTTTCCCCGTGTTGAGAAAGAATGGCATTATATATTATAATAGCCCGGGCAGATGAATGACGAGCCGCACCCCCAACACCATGGTGTGTTGTAAACCCCAAGACTCTAAGTAATCAATACCAGCGCCAGGTAGGTCGATACAAGAGTACAATTACTAGCCAGAAGGGGGAAACATAACTCTTCCAAGTCGTCTCGACAAAACCCCCCTTTCATAGCTCAACCTACATCAGCTGCACGAATGTAGTACCAAGGATCAGCTGTCTGTAGAAACTAAACTGCTTGATAAGCCACACAGAACCGTAGAACGGAGCGAGCATGGACGGCCGTCCTTACTCGGCTCGGAAATGCTCTCTTCTATCGTACAATGGAATCGATTTGCCAAGACGAGTCATGCACGTAAAGCTTCAAGAAACGAGAGGGAACCACGACGGTTTGCCAAACGTTTTATTGTGTTTAAACTTTTGTAAATGGCTGCTCTTCAAACTCGAGAGCATGACCACACAATGTATGCATTAATGCGCCTGTGCTGCCTCACAATGGCCCCATGTGTCTCACAAGAGCAGCAGCCGTCTTCAGGCTTTCTTTGCCGAACCATTAACCTGCCTTCCCAACTCCCCACCATCATGCGCACATATCGACATAAAAACACAGTTTCCCCATCTTTCTCTCTTTCTCTCTTTTTTCGCATCCTGACATAAAAAATGCAGCACGTTAGACAGCGAAGAAGCCCCTTATTATTCCCATTTTTTGGACTTTACTGACTTTCAACAATGGGGCCTGGGTGCCAGTATTTACAGGCGAGAAGAGCAAAACCAGGTGCCAGCTCCAGCATCCCACCTCACAACCATAAAACGCCGAGTATCCTCCAGCTCGTTGAGGTCCCATGAGAAGATGCCGATGCAAAAAACGATATAAAAAACACATGGTGAAAGCGACTAAAAACAGCCAAAAAGAACCGAAAAAGAAAAAAGAACAGAGAGCCGAACCCTCCCCATATGCAGTATTACCGAATAAACCCATTTCATGCTGAAAAAAAAGTCGTCGGAGAAATGGGGTGAGAGCAAGATATAACGTACTGGGTAAACTAATTGCCAGCGCTGGATTTTCCGTTGTTTTTTTTTACCTCTCTTCGTCCCGAGCATGTAAAATTCGGTTACACGTCAAAGTGAGCACCACCCACCATGTGTTCGTCTGCGGTTGACGTCTTCACAATGCCACTCATACGATTTGCTTTACGCAGGTCAATATCATCCAAATTATCCCAATCATCTTCATCGTGGTGTGCTTGAGCATCGTCCATATCCTCATCATCGTTTCTGAATCGATCCCTCATGTGGTCGTCCAAAGCACTCTCATCGACAAAGGTGAAGCCCTGAAAATTCGCTTGGACAGATGGAGACAGGGGTGTTGAAGCGGCGTAGCCACGGGCCAATGCAGCAGCTCGTTCGTTGAGAGAGCCGTTCTGTTCAAGGGCGGTGGTGAACTCGGGGTCGAAATAGGAGACATCGGTCTCCGACTTCAACTTCGGCTTAAAGGGGGGCGTAATGAGCTTCTTTGCAAGAATATCCCAGTCAATGTCAGCAAAGAACGGGTGGCGCTTCAGCTCTTCGGCATCATCCGTTGCGCCGAGTCGGTGCTTTGGATTTCTATTAAGCAATCCCTTGACAAAGTTCCGGCCTTCCTGCGAAAGGGTATCGCGGGGGAATCGGACCTTGCCGAAAGCAATGTTCTTGTACATCTGTTGGGTATCTTCTGCATAGAAAGGACTCCAACCGCAGCACATTTCAAAGACCAAAACACCGAGAGACCAGAAGTCTACCATCTTGGTATAACCAGATTCGTCTAAAAGAACTTCGGGGGCGAGGTACTCTGTCGTGCCGCAAAACGTATTGGTAGTGTCATTCTTGGTCAAGTTGGCCTTGGATAGACCAAAGTCGCACAAGGCGATATGACCGTTGGCGTCGAGGAGGATATTTTCCGGTTTGAGGTCACGATATACAATATCGTTGTTATGCAAATGCTGAATAGCTAAAATCAATTCGGCAATGTAGAACTTGGCCCGTCTTTCGTCAAATCGACCTTCTTTCTGCAAGTGCCAGAACAGCTCTCCTCCAGACATATAATCGGTAACCAAGTACAGTTCAGAGGGAGTTTGAAAGGAGAATTTGAGGCCGACGATGAAAGGCGAGTCCGTGGTAGCTGTCCGCACGAGAATATTGCGTTCACCAACAGTGTGGGCCACCTCTTTTTTCTGCACGATGACCTTCTTTTGCAACACCTTCATTGCATAGATTCGTTGTGTATCTCGCTTTCGTACCTGATAGACCTGTCCAAAAGTACCCTTGCCAATAAGCTTCAAGATTTCGAAATCACTGGGTCCGAAATGTTTCTTCTCAGAACTCTGATAAAAGGCTTCAACGTATATTTCGCCGGTCGGCGCATTTTCGGCGATTGTATCCGCATGTCCGCGTAATGTGAACCATCCTCTCACGGGACCCTCGCCGTCTTTCCCAGCTTGGAAATCAACATGGCCAAGAAATTCCTCTCCGGTAGCAGTGTGATCGTAAACCGAAATGTCGACCAACATGTCGGTGTCCACAACATCGCTATTTTCAACTCGTTAGCACATTGGAGAGGAGAGGAGAGGAGGCAAACCTCTCCAGTAGAAAGAGTTGCGCGCCAAAAAAAAAAAAAAAAAAAAAAAACAAGACTGCTTCGGCGTCCCATTTAGGATTGCTCGATGGCGCACGCATAGTTCGATTGCGAAAGGTGTTGTAGTCGTGAATACTCGTATTGCTGCTCTGACGACTCCTCATGGGGATGGCCATTGGCGGGCGACCCGAGTCGCTGCCCTGGCGTTGTATAGGAATGCCACCGAGCCCGGACGGGGTAGCACTTAAAGTCTCCTCCTCTTCGATGGTCCGTGGACCACCCGAAATGAGTTCACTTCGTTGGAATACTGCGACAACATAGGGATCGCGGCACTTTCGCAATCCACGCGCCTCGACGATTTTGATAGTCAGCTTGCCTTTTTGAGCGGGAGGTTGAACGCCGGCGGTTCGTGGGGTCTGTGTTCCGCTGGCCGTTTCCGCTCCATCATTGCTAGTTCGGCTTGGGGTGTCTCTGCCGTCTGATTGAGAAGAGTGGGCAGCAGATAAGGCTCTTGTGGGAGTCGGCGGACCACTCTTGAAGATGACACCACGCGTTAGCTCTTTGAGTCCTTCGAGCGAGAACCACTTGCTTGGGGCAGAGGTTTGGGGGAGTTTGGGGATGGTTTTGGACGGTGAGGATGACGAAGATGACGACGAGGGGGGTGTTTGTGACGTGGCAGGGGGTGATACAAGCTCCGAGCCCGCGCCCACACCGTCTTGCTGGGTTGAGACTGCAGGTGCAGGTGCAGGAGAGCTAATCCGTTGGCGGATATCATGTATTGACGTTCTTCCATGGGAGGCCGTCTTGGCAGCCTCTCCGTCTTCGAAGTTTGCGCCTTTACATGAAGAGCTTTCGGAGTATGACGGCTGTGAGGAAGGAGGAGTAGGGTATGGATGCGAAGCCATGCTTGATGGTAAGACGTGGCTCGAAGCAAGACCAAGCTTTTCCAAAGGCATTGGAAGATGGCAATCTGACACGCTTCGGGCGCAGCACAACGAATTCTGGCAAAGACTCGGCTGCTGCTTCTCCGAAGAGGTAGGAGAGTGCCTCTGGGCTGGCCGATCTGGCTGTTGATCCAAGGACGAGGACGAGGACGAGGATGTGGAGCCGGCGTCGGAGCCGACAGGCACCAAAGGAACAGGAACGCAGGAAGCACAAGTAGAAGTGTCGGTTGCAGGAGGGTCTTGACGAACCTGGCTGAAGTAGCTCATGATTCCCGGCAGACGTTTGTCGTGGAGGTCAGGTTGGGGGGTCGCTACGCCAGACCGTGGTGTGTCAGAGCCGATGTGATCCGCTCCATCTTCGTCGGCAGCGGCGGTCCTGTTGGATGATGGGTCAACAACGGGCATTGTCGATTCAGGCACTCCGGATGGGCGTGCCAATTGTGGAAACAAATGACGGGGCGACAGGAAAGAAGATAAGGGAAAAGACGAGATTGCCCTGGGAGAAAGACGGGGGGAGGAAGAACGGTGAGAGAGATTTGGTGGGAACACTAGTTCATGACGGCGGCCAAGAGCCTACAAGTGGTTTTGCAGGGAGGGGCGCAAGGCCAAGTGTGAATCCCGCGATGCACAAGAGTGGCTGCGAGGAAAACACGGAACCGGAGAAGCAGAGCAGACCAGCCAGGGACTTGGGTATAAGAAAAGGCGAGAAAAACAAAGGGATTGCTGCGGTGGTTGCGTGCAGAAGAACAACAACAGAACAACGAGGCAACTGTACGAGGAAGAAGGGGAAAAGAAAAAAAAGTTATGCACACAAAGGGGAGGCGTGTGTGGAAGCGATTCCGACAGCGGGTGCGCAGCCAAAAAGCCCAGGTTGCTTAATTCTGCGCCTGACGGCAAGGGCAAAAGGGATGACGAGATGAATGAATTTTTGCGCCGGAGC